TGGAAATGATCAAGGAAACTCTGGTGGCAACTCTGACAGCGATGGCGCTGGAGTGGATGACGGTAAAGGGGGAAAGTCACCTGTGTGGGCTAACTTTGATCCCACAGGTCTTGAACGTGCAGCACAAGCAGCAAGAGAGTTAGATAGGTCCAGTAAGTACAGGTTTTTGTTTATTTTTTACAGAATTTGTTATGCAAATAGGACAAGAAATCTATGACTTTACTACTTGTTGTAGCAATTTGGTTTTTACAATTCTATTATTGTTTTTAGAACATTCTAAAGATGCCCTGGATTTGGCCCAAGTTCAAGAGACAACCAAACAATTGGAAAAACAGGAAAAAATAAAGGTTTGCCATCACGAGTAAATATTGCTGTCATATAAATGAATGGTATTGCATGGTTATAGGAGTACTTCAGTCAGTGTATTTATCATTATGATATGAAAAGATAGCAGTTATTCAGGAATGATATACCTGATAGTATCATGGCTGTAAAATGACTAAGTCCTAATGTTTTATCAAAAAAAGAAGGAAAATTTGATGTTAGTTGAGAACTAAAAGCTATGCCTACTTCAACTGAAAGCACATTTGATTCATAAATATATTTGCATATTGGAGAAACACTAGTAAATGAACTAGAGAGGGATTTATAAGAGTTTTCAACTTTAAAGCAGGTACTTAATTTATCTTTTATTCACTGTGTAGATCATCACTTTTGTCATGTATCATGACAAACATTGCAAAAACACTATTTAGACTTCATTGACAGAGGCATGTGATTATTTATAAAATTTCTGATTCTATTTTTTAAGGAATATGAATTGGGAATCAAGCAAATGGACATTGAAAGGATGCGAGCAGAGCAGGAAGAAAGGAGAAAAACCTTGGCAGAAGAAGCAAAACATCATCAACAAGTATTTGTTACCAATGATTTATCATTTATCTCTATTACTTTGTGAACAATGACACTACTTTATTATGCTTTCTTTCCGAATTCCTTTCAATAACACTGGGGGCTGCAAACATCCCTTAAATTTAATCTATGAACAGGCTGTATTGGATGGTCTCTGACAAAAAGCCTGCGAGTCACTGATTTTTTAAGAAACACTTAACAGCAATTCTTTCTTTTTGTAAATAATGATTAGTTTTTTTTTGTCTTATCAACAGAAAGCACAATATCAAGATCAACTTGCAAGAAAACGTTATGAAGATCAGCTATTGCAACAGGTTGGCTAATGAAATGTGATTAAAATTTGTTTATATTTGACCATCAATTGGTATCATACATAATCCAGCGTAGTGTTAACGATGAAAACTTAAAGAGGCAGGAAGAATCTGTGAAGAAACAAGAAGCTTTGCGGAAAAGTATACGGCAAATTAAAATTAACTTTTAAATGGTCATTGATAAAATAGTTTAATTGTTTGTTTTAGAAACCATTGAATATGAAGCTCAACTGAAACATGAGAATGATATGAAACGTCTTCAAGCAGAATTGAAAGGAAAGTAGGTATCTTAGCTAGTTTGAAAATTAATTCTTTTAAACGACGAGCTTGCTAGCAATCAAATTACACTGTTGTTTCTTAAGAGCTAAAATTGAACGCGAAAATCGAGACATTCGTTTGGAGCAAATAAAAGTTGAAGCTTCAGAACGAAGGCAGACAGTACTGGAGTCAATAAAGTAGGTTCAGAAGAATTTTTTATTTGTAGAAAGATTCTTATGTAACAGTAATACATATAATTCAGGACGGCAGGAAGCGTTTTGGGAACTGGTATCAACACATTTATTTCTGATTGGGATCGAGTTACTAGCGCAGTAAGTAGAAAAAGACATAATGCCATTTGGTTTTTTGCGTTGAAGTCAATTTCTGTTACTTCTGTATAGGCAGCCGGAATTACTTTGTTTGCGTTGGGTATATATGCTGCTAGACAAGCAACTGGTGTCGTTGGGAGGTACATACCTATATATGTCGTGCAATTTAGTGATCTTGTTAGGTTCATCCGTTGTTGCCAAAAAAATTGATGGTAGATATCCAACTCAATCCTTTTGCCAGATATATTGAAGCAAGATTGGGCAAACCTTCATTAATTCGCGAAACTTCAAGATTAACCGTCGTTGGTGCCGTTCGACATCCAATAATGGTTTGGAAATGTTTGAAATGAATTAAATAAAATAAACCTTATCAAGAGCAGAAAATCATGTTAGTACTTGATTATATTTTTGTATTTTTTATTTAGATGGTAAAAAGATGGCTTACGAGGCCACAAGACACGATGCAAGGAATAATACTACAGGTTTTTATTGTTGATTTTAAAAATGTTGAAAGTGAACATAAAATTTACTTAGTCGATGTAGATCGTCTAGTTTAGAGAGTCCTGAGAAGGACTGTTGATGTAGAACAACCTTAGCGGTAGTCATTTTTAGAGTCGAGAAAAGTTACTTAATGTTTGATCTTCATGTTCAATGTTTTATTCAGTCATCATTGGAAAAGAGACTTCAAGAAATTTCTCGTGCTACAGCGAATACAAAACGTAATGGAGGAGTTTATCGTAATCTATTGTTTTATGGTCCTCCTGGTACCGGAAAGACAATGTTTGCTAAGGTTTGTGATTTGTATTCTTTAATCAATTTGTATTTTTCTAATAACTATGTTTTTCAGAGTTTGGCAAAGCATTCTGGTATGGATTATGCTATCATGACGGGGGGTGATATTGCTCCTATGGGAAGGGAAGGCGTAACGGCAATACATAAAGTATTTGATTGGTCATCGAGCAGCAGTAAAGGTGTCTTACTTTTTGTCGATGAAGCTGATGCATTCTTAAGAAAACGTAGTACGGTAAGTTGATGAAAATGTCATTATATGATCACTTTATACACCTTGATCACCGTAAGTGAATAAACAATGTTACATGTAGGAAAGTATCAGTGAAGATATGAGAAGTACTCTGAACGCATTTTTATACAGAACTGGTGAAGCATCCAGAAGGTAATGTTTCTACTTTGAGGATTTAAATAAACATATTTATACGGTTGGCTTAAAGTCAAAATAACAGTAGTTGTATGAACCTTTGTAGTGTTCTTGGATGTTCTCGTTTATTTTATGAGAGGAATTCTCGTAAATAAAAATACAAATTTCGACAACAAGACAACAACTGGTTATTTACCCAAAATTTATAAGTTTTATAACGAGTCAAAGTTTATTAAGTCAATGGGCGTTTGCCTCATGATACATGAAGCAAAATGAGATTTAATTTAGAAATGAAATGAATGTATGGTTGATTCAAATTACGAGTCAAAATGAACTTTCACTATGATCCAGAGTTTTATGTTTGTGTCTTACCTCTCTTATGCCCGAGGAGACGTTTATTTTAAAGCACATATAACGTTTCAGATTCATGCTGGTACTTGCTAGTAACCAACCAGATCAGTTTGACTGGGCCATTAATGATCGCTTGGATGAAATGGTCAAATTTACTCTTCCGTCTACAGACGAACGTGAACGATTGGTGCGAAAATATTTTGAGGAATATGTTTTAAATTGTGCCACTAGTGGACGGAAATCTCGGTAAGTTGACATTATGAACAATTTTACATGAAAATTGAAACTTTTAAAACTTCGATTTTTTTTTCAAATAAAGGCGACTTAAAATTGACAACTTTGATTTCAACTCTATATGTCGATCGATTGCTGAAAGAACAGCAGGGCTGTCGGGTCGAGAGATAGCAAAACTGGCTGTTTCCTGGCAGGTGTGTAGGTGTAGGCATATGTGTGTTATACGTATTAAAAATTGTAATTTTTCATTTGTGTTTTGAAAAATGATCTGAAGTTGACAATGGAGTTGGTGGTCCCTTTTAGGCCAGTGCCTTTGGTTCTAAAGATGGTGTATTAACAGAAGCCATGATGGAAGAGCGTCTACAGGAATCTATAGCACAACATGGACAAAAAGTTGATTGGCAAAAAGGAGACGTTATTTCGCCTACGAACCTCATGATAAAGGGTTCAAAACCTGTTCCATAATTGTTTACCATTGACATTAAGAATGGAGAGAGAAGTATTCGATAATATGACTGGCACAATATTGTGTAACTGTTCACCAATTGTGCTAACCAAATAGTGAATGCAATGATAGAGAAAATTAATCGGTTTTGTTGTCTAATTAAATCAATATTCTTTTCATTTATGTGACTTACGTTCGTTACCAAGCCTTTCATGAAATCATCATAGATCATTAAAATTCCTTTGATGTCATTTAGCAGAAGGCGACTCTCCCATGGCAGACTTTCGTAGAATCCTTACGAAGAGACGTGTATTTCGACTATTTTAGGGTTATATGTGAGAATACATTGTGACGTAGCCAGCCCATTTTATTTCTCTGACTACGTAAGTTTTCGTTGTTGCATCACAGGGAAAACACTAAATTTCAGTCGTGAATCTTATGTGAAGACGATACGTTAAAACCTTGTTTCTCGAGTGACATTAGCATAAGAGAGAATACAAAGCAAAGCATTTTCTGCAAACGCTGGATGAAACAAAACAAAAGAGATTTTCGTTTCAGTTTGATTTTGCTTGACTTTACTCTTATGTCAAGTTGCTTCGCTAGTGCTCATGTCTATGTCAATCTATGTGTCTGACGCTTCATTGAATTCTTTTGTATTTTGTTTTGTCTTTTGGCTTATTTGCTAGTGAAAACTCGGCTTGAACCTGAATATTTATAAAAAGACTCGGGAAATTCAGCTGCGTATACAAGTACTATATACTTTTTTTTTCTATTGGGATATAAAACTCATTTTATCTTAAGAGCAATGAACGATCAAGGAATTGATTATTGGTATGAAGAATTTAAGAATTTAACATAACTTTTACTGAGTCGTGAGCTAAATAATTGTTTGGATCATTTTCACTGTACTCGTATTATATTTAAATGAAACAAATCACTCAATATTTAACGTCAAAAGCAATATTTAACATCAAAATTGTGTGAAATTGTGTGATGGTTCTTCATCTCTAGGTCTGAACATAGTTCATTGCAGCAGGCGGAAAAAGATGTTACTGATGAGGTTTGTTGATGAGCAGTTTTCAGAATAAATCATTGATCATGTATAGAGATATAAAGACTATAAATGATAAATCGCCAGTTGCTGATGTTCTTGTACCATTTATTGGATCTTGAATAAAAATCGTACAGTTTCAATAGAATAAACAGCAAAATGTTCCATCCTTTATCATATCTTTGCTCATATTAGTACGACCGCAGTCTTACCTCACTATTATTATGGTCAACCAAAATGTGGCATTTCTTTATTATAATCTTTTTATATTAACTATTCACTCCTTGAGTTTCTTACTTCAGATTTACAATCTTTAGCAGCTGCAATACTTATCTACGTATACTGTTGTTGCGCTTACTCCTTTATAATAGTGGATCAAAAATGCTTACTCGTGCATATTCTAAATACCGGGTGGTTTTGAAAGAGAAGCCGTTTTTTATACCCTTTACTTGCTGTAGAGCTTTCTATTGGATAAAATTTAGCTTCATAACTCATTAATATGCAAATCTCGACAAATAGTGCATTGCATTTTATTAGGTAACAAAAACCCTGAAAGAGAATGATCAAAAAGGCTCAGAGCTTGCTGACAAATTTGGTGAGTCATAGCATCGGGAACACTATGTTAACGTTTGTCGCTAAGCAAAAAAAAACTTTTGGCTTACTTACAACTCATATTTGATTATGGTTTGCAGATGGTCTCGCCAACGAAGCAGAAGAGCTTTTTGAATTGTGCGAACCAAATCCCAAGAAAAAGTCTCGCAATAGACTCTCAACGTTGTGGAAAAGAATAAAAAAATTCCCCGGAAGAGTAAGGCGAAGAATGACAAAGTTTTGGAGGAATTAGTAGTGCATATAGAGTGTCCCCCCCCCAAAAGGAACCCGCACAAATAATTATATGTATGCATTAAAATTAAATCTGCAAAAAATAATTTATTCTACAATAGGTATTTGTTTCACCAGGTTAATGTATTTAAACGTTTGTCCATGTTCGTTGCACTTATGGAAAATATGATGACTTTTTTATAGCCGTTATAACACAGTAAATGCTTCTTTGATTTTACAAAGCTTTTACGTAATAAATTTCGATGAAAATCAGTGTATGACTGTACTTTTATCTTGCTTTGCTTTAACTAATACTGTAAAAACTCTAGGAATTTCTAGAGGCGCAGAAGTGTCAAGTCCGTTCATTAAACTGTTGTGAATGCTAATTAAATTCTTGTGCATCAGCAAATACGTTATTAATTGATTGGTTATTGTCTACCTTTACGTGTACCTTTATGTCTACCTTTATGTCACCTTTATGTCTACCTTTATGTCCACCTTTATGTTTATCTTTATGTCTACCTTTATGTCTACCTTTATGTCCACCTTTATGTCTACCTTTATGTCTACCTTTATGTCTACGTTTATGTCTACCTTTATGTCTACCTTTATGTCCACCTTTAGGTCTACCTTTATGTCTATTTTGTGTCTAGCTTTTGTCTACCTTTGTCTATTTTATGTCACAGCTTTATGTCTACCTTTATGTCTACGTTTATGTCTACCTTTATGTCTACGTTTATGTCTACCTTTATGTCTACCTTTATGTCTACGTTTATGTCTACCTTTATGTCTACCTTTATGTCCACCTTTAGGTCTACCTTTATGTCTATTTTGTGTCTAGCTTTGTCTACCTTTATGTCTATTTTGTGTCTAGCTTTATGTCTACCTTTATGTCTACGTTTATGTCTACCTTTATGTCTACCTTTATGTCTACCTTTATGTCTACCTTTATGTCTATTTTATGTCTAGCTTTATGTCTACCTTTATGTCTACCTTTATGTCTACCTTTATGTCTTTTTTATGTCTAACTTTATGTCTACCTTTATGTCCTTTATGTCCACCTTTATGTTTACCTTTAATGTCTACCTTTATGTCTACCTTTTATGTCTACCTTGTGTCTACCTTTATGTCTACAGCTATGTCTACCTTTTGTCTACCTTTATGTCTACCTTATGTCTACCTTTATGTCTATCTTTATGTCTACCTTTATGTCTACCTTTATGTCTACTTTTATGTCTACCTTTATGTCTACCTTTGTGTCTACCTTTATGTCTACCTTTATGTCTACCTTTATGTCTACCTTTGTGTCTACCTTTATGTCTACCTTTATGTCTACCTTTATGTCTACCTTTATGTCTACCTTTATGTCTACCTTTGTGTCTACCTTTATGTCTACCTTGTCTACATTTTTAGTGGAGTCGACATTTTTAAAAAGTGGTAATGTCATAGGGGACAATCGACAACATTTAAAAAGTGATAATTTCATGAAAGCCGCAAATGTTTTCTGACGTTTTTACTATTTCTCACTTTGTTAATCATCTTCAACTGTCTTCCTGGTGATCCACACTCGTTTTCCATACGTTTCGAAGTAGATAACGCTTCCTTTATTTGATAGGCCGAATAAACTTTATTATTTAATGATTTCATGTAACGAGGTAGAACAATAGACAATTGTCATTTGTGTTTTACGTATACTTAATGGAGAGCATTTTTTTAGCAACACGATTCTTATTGTTTTAGAGAATTAGATTTGATAGACGTCAAGTAATTTGTTCAAGTACGAACAATGGATGTAAAAAGTGGTAAGAAGCATATATAATGATATGCATAACACCATGTAAAGATATTACTCATTTCAAGGTTTTGGCATTTATGAACTACGAGGCGTCAAGGTAAATACATGTTGATATTACAAGACTTCATGTGAGCAATAACTATATTAACGATTCAAAAACTTTGGTTGTATAAAGGTAAGTTGGTGTCTTCACTGCAGCAAACTACAGTTAACGACAAGAATAGTTAAAGAACAGCAAAATTTCGAGTTCTTCAAATTTGTCAGTTGATGGAATTCTGCATTTGCTTAACTATCAGGCAACAATCATGTCCATTCGCTGGAGGAAGGCATTTCTATGACGTCTACAACTAAGGAGAACCCAAATAAATTTTGAAAATTGCGTTAAAGTCATTGACGGTAAGGAAAAGAATCAAATTTCTAAATCTGTTGATAGTTTTGAAGCATTTCTCGATGAGATGATGTGAATATTAGGTTAATTATGCATGTCGTGGAGCTGGACACTTTCAGCCGTTAAGGTTAACAATCAAACTTCACAACAACAATAGCAATAAATGAAAAACCAGTCAGGTGCAAGAACAATCATTGTTATAAAGACAGAAAATTTTGTACTGTGGGATTAATCTTTTAATTTATGCATGCATAATAACGAATAAGTAAGAACATTAATTCCACTTATAAATCTGCCTAGACTAAATTTGAACAGAAACAGCAGCAGCAAGTGCAATGGCAAGGATAAATGGGCGAGACCACGTTAACGTTTATGTTGGGAAAGAATTATTCGGTCACTGGAAGGGAGTCTCAACGTGGCTTGAACGTAAATTATTAACTATCAAAGCGAAATTACTACGAGTTAACGACGTCTACCAGACACACCAAATATTAAATGGATATACCGGACGTAATCTAAGCATTTGATAAGCAAACAGTTTGTACTGAAGCTATGGAATTGAGTGATAGCAAAACGCAACAAACAAGAGCGCTGTGAAGACTGTGCAGATTGGTTTCTTACAACATCCTATGTCCTCAACACAATGTTTAAAGATTATATGGCTGCGTTGTCAAATATGCGGTGATATGTTATAAGTATCATAAAGCATTGAAATGTTGGATATGACTCGTGAAATCGACATTCCTAAAGAATACACCTCAAAATCGGACGATAGGAAAATTCATTTCCTATGTATATTATATAAAACTAAAGAAGACAAGTTATAGGCTGCTTTAAAGCCTTACCAACGTCAATCCAGAAATATGTCATCCTCATATTTTACTACGACAAAACCATTGGAGTAATAAAGCTAATATCAGCAGCAGCCGCTAAATGAAATCTGTATAGCTTAGCCATAAGAAAAACGTGCTTGCTTTTGAAAGACTTATTTGTCTCTGTCTTTTCAAAA